AAGTCATCCTGGCTCCCCTAATGGAGTATAAAAGGTTCCTAATCAACCTCTCTCCCAAGAGTTCCTCTGCCCCACCCTACTTTATCTCATCCAGGATGCTCTCCTAGGCACACACTTCATTATGTAACTGCCCTGCTCAAAGACCCAGGAAAACATGGACTCCCCACTACTTACAGAGCTTTAGAATGTGACCCTGGCCTTCCAACCAGGTCCACTCACTGGCCCCTCTACCTCTCACACCCTCTGAAACCCTTTCTTTCCACAACAATCCTCCAAGAACAAGCCTTGCCACTTCACAACACCAGAGTAATCAATATATCAATATGCTCTTGTCTTAATCTAGAATACCCTTCCCCCAGCATTTTATTTTTCTTTTTTGGGAGGATACTGGGGATAGAAGCCATGAGTGCTATTCCATTGAGCAACATCCCCAGGCTTTTTATTTTTTTTTTTTGTTTTGAAACAGGGTCCCACTAAGTTGACCAAGTTGGCCCTGAACTTGGGATCCTCCTGCTTGAGCCTTCAGAGTTGCAGGGATTACAGGTGTGAACCACCATACCCTGTCCCTAGCATTTTTACAAAGTAAAATTTTACTCATAATACGTGGTTCAATTTAACATTTTCATGGCTCTCTACATTCCTTTCTCTGACTGCCACACCAGTTCTTAGATACCTTCAATACAGATCTTTAAAAATTATATAGTGGCCAGGTGCAGTGGCACATGCCTGTAATCCCAAGTGACTCAGGAGGCTGAGGCAAGAGGATCACAAATTCAAACCCAGCCTCAGCAACTTAGAGAGGCCCTAAGCAGCTCAGCGAGACCCTATCTCTAATGAAATACAAAAAGGAGCTGGGGATGTGGCTCAGTGGTTAAGCGCCCCTGGGTTTAATCCCTGGTAAATATATATAAATATATAAATATATCTTATATAGTAATTATCTGTTTATGTGTCTGACTCTGCAATTAGACCTTGAATATTCTAGTCAAGGACTACATCTCATACATCATGCATGGTACTAACCTTCTAAAACAGATCTCAATCATCTTCAGGTCAGTTAGAATCTCAGCTATTTAGCAGTTTCTTAAACTCAAAAACAGAATATAATCATCATTGAGTACTGTTAAAGAAACCTCAGACACTTAAATGACAGAAAACCTTTTTAACCTATTAATTAGCTATATTTATTTGGATGCTTCTTAATTTGTTTGAGAAGAATCTAGGCCTTTAATCTAATCAATACTTTGATAGACTTATCTTTGGACAAGTAACAGTTTCGGGTTTTCCTGTTACATTCTGAGCCTTGGAGGACAGGAACCTGGTCTTATTCCCATGTGTATAATCCATACCTCCTGTACCAGGCAGATGCCCAGTAAATGCTTGCAAAATTGAATTTCTAAAATGAGTGGCCACACTGATATGTGAAGCTTTTTTTTGAATCTTTCATATGTACACTTGCAAGGGAACTGAGATAAATTCAACTCAATTTTTCAAAGAAAGTCAAAGAGTGATGCTTATTTTCTTCACAAGATGCCTCCAACTCAGAAATACACACTTCAAATTCAATCTCGGAAACAGCTGCCACTTGAACCAGGAAAGTCAGCTTAGAGGAAAGAAGAGAACTTGTGGTGTACCCCTCTTGTTTTGACAGGGAACTCAGAGAAGATGGCTAGTTGGCTTCCACGTCCACACTCACACTGCTTCATCACTCTCTTCCAAGGGACAGGTGCAGGAAACACCCTGGTCTGTCTGTCTTCTCCAAAGTAAAACATACAGAATTTTAGGGGGGAAATTCTAAATGAATAGAAAATTTGCATTCCTTTATGTACACATGAAGGAGGAAGCCTTGTGCCCTTAAACATTAAAGAAATGCTAATGCCAAGAAGTGCAATCCATAGTTCCAATATCTAGGACATATATTCCCAGGCTTCTTTTGAATGTGAGTAAACCATAGCAGATGTTAGCATGACTCCTCCCTAAACAATTAAAAATAAAATATTTTTATCAACAAAATAGGAGGGAACGATAAAGAGAAATCTGAGAAGCAACTTCATGTATAATTAGAACATATTTGATACATCCTTTTGAGAGTTTATATTCTACTCAAAAAGTTACTGGGTTTTTATTTTCTACCTTAACCCACCACCTTAGCAATTTTAGGAACTTGACATATCCTGGGGGAGATATTATATCGCATATCATTGAAAACCACTAGAAGGTCAGGGTTCAGGCTTTTACCCTCCCTAATAAGAAGTCCTTGCTTCTTTCTCTTAATCTTTCTTCACAGGTTCTCATTTGTAACTATACTATTTTCCTTCTCCCCACCTCATCCCTCCCTTCTTCTTCTTATTATTCTTTCTTTTCTAAATTTTTAGATTCTCTATCTTCTAAAGTATGGAGTCCTGAATTGCGTAAAGAGTACTTTATCTTGAAGATTTTTAAGTGTAGACTTTGCCTTTTACTGCACAGCCTAATATTGAAGACTTTACTGATTCAACTGCCCAAAGAATAAATTCTATATCTAAAAATAAATACTATCCTGTTTGTTCAGCTGTCCAGATAAAATGAAATCTTAGAATACAATCAGGTATCGTAAAATTTCACTGATAAATTATAAGAAGTACAAGTTGAGTATCTGTTATCCAAAATGCTTGGGATCAGAAGTGTTTCAAATTTTGTAGTTTGTACATTTAGGAATATTTGCATCTAAAAATCTGAAATGCTAGGAAATTTGGAAATTTTGAAAAGACACCTGATGCTCAAAAAATTTCAAATTTCAGAGCATTCCAGTTTTCAGATTAGCTTAAATTTTATCTCAGAATACAAAGAGATTGTCATTTTATCTGATGAATGTACCGTTTTTCTTGGAATGCACCCCATGTTTCAGTTTTTGCTTAGAAAAACCATAAACTGGAATATATATCCTAACTCAGTTGCTATGGTCTGGATGTTTCCCTGGAATTCCTAAGTTAAAATCTAATCAACAAGGGGCAAGTATCTGGAGGTAGGGACTTAGAGAGGTGATTAAGATGGGGGGGCAGAACCCTACTGATTGAGATCAGTGTCCTTATAAAAGAGACTTCCAAAATCCTCCCTGTGTGATCCTTCAGGACAGAGCCTAATCAAACAATAGATACCTAAGCCATTCCAGAAAACATTTTACCTTGAATATCTATTTTACACATTTCCTTTTAGCTATAATTATCACTTCCATTAACACCTACAAGGCTCATTAGTGAATTCAACATGAATTCTTCATTGGAAGTGAAGAAAAAGTAAAGTATATAAAATATCATGCTATTTATTCTAATCAAAATTAATGATAAAGATATAATGCTTATATTAATAACATATAGGTATGAATTCACTGCAATGGATTTTTTTTTTTATTCTTTTCACCAGTACTAGGGTTGAACCCAGGGCCTGGCACATGCTAGACAAGTATTCTATCACTGAGCTACATCCCCAGACCCCAATGTGGATTCTTAAGTAATAGATACTTTAAAATTTTAGTAGTTTGGTATGCAAGAGAGTAAAGCATGTGTTGTCCTTGTATTTTTACAATCCTGAGAGCTGGAGATAACACATAACTCAACTGTATAATATGTTCACAGTGCCGGGCCCAGGGTTAGCTCTTGATTTTGTTGCCCATGGACCATTGATAGGTTAAAACTACTAGAGCAGACTCCTCCTGCTGCCAGCCTCTACCCATGGTCATTTTTTTTCTATGTTAAAAGCAAGAAAAATAGCCTTGCTAATCAAAACTAATATGTGTATAAGGCCAGTTTCTTTGGAATAGGAATTATTAGAAATGTTTTGATAAAGAATGGCCTAGTCTGATATTCAAGACAGCTTATTTTCCTTCTAACAGGCACACTCAAATATGAATATGAAGGACAATAAAAGTACATGAAAATTTAAAAGAAAGGAACTCTTCATAGTGTACATGAGATATTTTCAAATGACCCCTTTCTTTCAAAAAGAACAATATTCTGTGTCTAAATGTTTTCCCCTTGCCAAAATAAAAATATTTCCAGGAAAAATAATCATTTTTAGTTTCTCTAAAAATGAAAACTTTCAAGTACAGCAGACTCCACAAAGAGTCAATCAAAATTCCATGGGTATTAGGTGCTCTGTTTTTCTGATAAGATTTAATGGTTATGGCCTAAAAGAAGCAAACTTATACAAAATATGTGTCTGTCCACAAGAAGTAACAGAACCAAAAAATTTAATAAATAAAGACTTATCTTCCAGGTTTGGGGGTTGTAGTTCAGTGGTAGAGCTCTTGTCTAGTGTTTGTGAGGGTTTGATTCTCAGCACCACATATAAATAAATAAATAAAAGTAAAGGTCCACTGACAACTAAAAAAATATTTAAAAAAAAAAAAAACCTCATCTTCTAGGCAGAAAATGCCATTGGAAAGAGAGAAATTCAGACTTCCTCTAAAATCCAGTGCTTCTCAAACGTTAATATACATTAGAACCCAGAGGACCACACAACTAGAGGACCTGATAGAACACAGGTTGTTGGGCCTCCCCCCAGTGAATCAGATTTGCCTGATTCAGTAGTCAGAGAGTAGGCCCTGAGAGTTTACACTGTACAGGTTTCCAGGTGATAGCAATGATGATGTCAGTCTGGGAATCACACTTTGGGAACCACTGCTTTAACTTGGTGACTTTGTCAACACTGTAGAAGGCTTACAATACTCAGCCTAATCTTTCCCAGTGAAAAAATCTGTATGCTTTATGGCAATTCATGTTTCCCCTGGCAGACAGTATCAATTCTTAATTATATCAGAATATTTTCACTACATCTACATTGCACACCACTTTTAGAACATGACAATTTTATAGGTACTTAGTACAGGAAAATAAAAAATATTTTTGTAGACATTCTATCCTTAGTCCTTCAGTGGAGATTCAACAGTAAAGAGTAAGATGGTGAAGTATTTGAAGACTCAGTGTAGGCACAAGTGGGCAGACTCCATTCTCAGGACTTACCTGTGACTGGTGCATCGATATCCAGCAAGTTTTTTTCCTGTCGAAGAATGGAAGCACCCTCTGTTATTATTCTCAATGCAACGCTCTCTTCCAGCCTGCCCTCCTTCATGAGATGTGCTTTTAAGATATCCACACGAGGTTTTCCATCATTATCAAACACTTCTTTTGCTGTGAGCCGGTGACTTGGAGGAAATGGAACAGCTGAAAGAGAAAAAGTCAAATTATTACATTAACCGAAATTCAACAACAAAAGATTTAGTCATAATCACCAAATATCCATCCCTGTCTCTAACCACCTAGAGACATATTTTTATAAGTTCCCACATTAAAATATGATCATGCATTATCAAGAATTGAAGACATCTTTCTCCCTTTGATTCTAGATGTAATGTGATTGCTGGAAGGAAATTTGCAGTTTGTTATTCATTCAGTACTCTCTCCAACACATAAAAGATCCTGTTTGAGTTTTGTTTTGTTTTCTTAAGGAATGAAAACTGTCCTGTTAGGCAATAACTCATTCCACAAAACACAATAATTCCTAAACATCCAACCATAACTGACCAAGGCAAAGATAATTATCCACTGTGAATCAGGCTCTTCTGCTGGGATTAAGGAAACAGAAAACAGCTGCCCCACCAGATTCACTGCTCCAACTGGAGCTCAGCACTGAGCTACTGATTGTCTGTTTAAGGAGAGAAGGGACTCAGCAGAAAGGTGCAAATGCACCAAAAACTAAACAGGAAAAACCTAGATTTGCATGTGAAAGTGTGTGCCCTTGAACTGAAAGGGTATCTTGAAGATCAAGGGAAATGATACAATAGAAAGGAGATACAGATAATTAGGAAAATGATACAAAGACAAACACTACTTATTCCTTGGATTCAGAACCAAACAGCTTTTCTTCTACCCACCCCACCCCTTCTTTACTGTGAGAAGTTCCCTTATAGCTACAGTCATCCTAATGTCTGTGAGCCACTCAGTCATTCATTCATTCAGCCACAGCCTGTTCACCAAACTCCAGTACAGTGCCAGGACATCCGACATATGTCAGAGATGGTATCACAAAGGTTAAATAACTGATAAAAGGTCAATGAGCCACACAAAAACTCACCATTTCTCTATTTTACACACTGGGTGACAACTCGGATCTATGAGCACTATCTGGCAATGAGCACAAATTTGGATTCAGGTTACTTTCAAGTGCCATATGCAATGCCCCACATGCAATGGGAGCCTATCCATGAAGGTTCTTTTCTCAGGAAGAAACATTAAATTAAGGAATACAGCTGACCCTCCCACTTTCTAAAAGGGTCTCTCAAAAGAGCAAGACTGAAGCTGGATGTGTGCCAAGAAATTCTGTGCAATCTAATAGCACAAATTTGTTATCCGAGTGAACTTGTAACTACTTTTTAAAAATATCAGGAAATAAACCTTTATGGATGGATGCAAGCGTGATTTTCCTAACAATCCAACCATGTCTATGGAACTATGGCGCCATAATAAAGTGGCAGTGACAGGCTCGTTGGGTAAGCAGGAGGCTTTCATGGTTAAAGGAACCTGGGTGCAAACCTTGGCAGTGCACACTCCCCAGCTCAGTGACCTTGGGCAAATTCAATAACCTCCTTTGGCTTTAGTTACCTCATCATAAAGTGAGGATTATGTCTACCAGATGACTGTTTTAATAAATAAAGTAAATAGTAATGGTAGTAGCTAATAGTTATAGAGCATTTATTTTCTGCCAGGTGTTGTTTGGTTAATAAAATTGGACACAGCAATAATGCTGAAAGATGAGTAAGGTATATGTACATGTGTTTATGTATAAACTCATTTAGTTCCCATAACATTGCTGTGGGGGAGAAACTTGAGGCTCAAAAATATAAACACCTTCCCAAGATAATCACCTGGTGATTTGTGTAGACACATTGAGTTGCAACTCAGGCAGTTGGATGCCAGAATACCTGTGTTGGCAACTAAACTGCTTTCCAGAAAGTATTTAATAATTAAAAAGTGATTACCAACTCACTATTTTGGAATTGAAATTCTAATAAATACTGAGAGATGTTTCTTATAAATAGAAAAAGTTTCAATTAAAAATCTTTAGTTTCAAGATTTGGGGCTGCTTTATAAAATAAAAGCAAAATGTATAATGTTAAAGCATCGTGCTCAACAGAAGAAAATTCAAGCTTTAAGTAAGGAGGTAAGAATAGAAGGAAATTAGGTCATTAAACGTGGGAGTTATTTTGTCCACTTTATTTTGTTGCCACCCCCACAATTTCTTGCAGTGATGACTAATGTGGATAATAAGAAAACATGGGGGGGGGAGAAAAGAAAATATGGAGACATTTCAGAGACCACATTATTACTGTTTTTTAACTGAGTTCTTTATGTATGTTTAGAGGTTAACAAATATTTTACCTAGCATTGCTTCAAAAGTATTCAGGCTATAGGATATAAACCAAGATGGAGGATAGAGAGGGGGTATGTTCAAAAACATACTTGGGGCCAGGGCAAGAGCTGATTTAAAAATTAAAAAAAAAAAAAGATTGCCAAGATGTGAGTTAGACAACTGCAAAGGTTTAAATGGCTCTGCAAGATTTTCAGACAAGAATCACAGGAGCACAGACAGTAAGGGGGGTGATTTACTGTTAGGCAGATAAAAGTAGTGGGCTTCTGCCACATTGCTCTTGATGGTCTTATTCAACTTCACACAGATCAAAGGATTAAACCTGAAAGTGCTGCAACATTTAAGATGAGAGGCAAAGAATGAGCACCATAGGGAGAGCCTCACCTTTGAGAATTAGACTTTCTCCAAGTCCCTAGACTCTCCAAGCCAAGATCACTGCAATAACAGATGCTCCACCCTTCAATGCAGATTTTATTCCTTCCAATAATTGCTAATCCTAAAGTAACTGGCTAAGGTAAAAAGCCAACTGCACTGAGATGCTGGAGTTGGTTGCAAATAAACCGGGTGAGAACGAAGAGGAAAATGGCCAATCAGAGGGCAGTGTTTCCAACTGGATGATAGGGATTCTGATAAGATCGGGCCCTTTACCAGTTAGACAGATGGCAAGGCCTCAGGGAACCAAGATGAGCAGCAGTGAAGCCAAGGATCGAACCCAGAGAAACCGACAGCCAAAGAGAAGTTTTCTGGGACAAAAATAAGAGTGGGCTAATATTTGTGTGTTTGTGCACCTTTTGGCTTCATAAAGAAAATACCAGCTTTATAAAGGTCACATTTATTTGCTTTCTCTGTTCATCTAGTGTCCCACATGTAGGTCTGTGCCAAATATTGAACAAGAACTATTTGGACCAAAGAATCCAGTGTGCTTGGAAAGCATTTTTTTTTTATTTTATTTCATTAACTCATTGTGAAAGTGTCTATGCTTCATATAATAAAATTAGATTTCTCCTCCACTCCTTTGCTTTAAGTATTATAACAAGTTGCTTTCCTTGATATAGACCAGAACTAGAGAAATTAAGTTTGTGCGTGCTGCTTCAAAGTCTCAAATAGCTGTTGATATTTGGGTTGGCTCTTTCCAAAACAATTTTCTTAAAATTGCCTGTTAAGTACAGAATATATTGTTGTAAGACTTCTTAGAAGCATCCTATAAATAGATAAAAATTCTCTCAGCTTTCTCTATAATTCCCAATTGATGCCACTTTTTTTCCCTCAAATTAATAAAACAGTAAATTAGCTATAATTTGGGACATGTAAGTCCTTGACTGATTCCTAACAGGAAACATCACAGATGGCTTTAAAAAGCAAACAACACAGTGGACTAGGATTGTGTTCTTCTGTCACGAATGAGATATCTGGCAGATCTTCATTTCCAATGGTCAAGAATGTGGCTTTGCTGCTTTTCTATTTCCTGGTACACCAGATTTCATCTATCTGACGTGGAGAAAAGTTACCAGATTATGTACCCAAATCACATATATCCAATATTGGCATCTATACAACTAATATTGAAGCTGTTGTCAGTTATACAGGCACCAGAAAGAGAAGCATTCCAGTTTAGAAACACCTGTAGTCAGAGGATGTGTCTGATGATGGCAAACACACCTCTAAAAGAACAGGGGTCTCTTCCTGAGTTTTGGGTTAAATGAGTTTTAAACAACTACTATGTGGCAAAGTAACTATTAGTGTTCTCTTACCATCCTGGGGTAGATCCAGGTATGGAATATCTGTTTTTTAAATCTGAGCTGCTTCAACCACTATTGAAGAGATTCCCAATATTTTATAGGAAACATCTGAGTCATTGTCATGGTAACACCTTCCTCACAAGGAAGAACAGGATTCCTGCTGCCTGACCTCTGCCTGGAGTAGTAGCATAAATGCTGACAAGAAGGAATAATGGACTTAAAAGAACATTTAACAAAGTGTTATTTTTTTTTAAACCTTTGCTTTTATTCCTCTAACAATATCATACCTGGAAACTCAAGCATATCCAGAGTAGAAAGGAGCCTAAAACTATTGGCTCACCTTGCTTTTCTCTGCTGATGGCTTCCAAGGCGTGCTAACCAAATCCTAGGGCTTTTATTGTCTTGTTTTTGTGTTTCATTTATTTATTTTGTCAGAACTGAGGATGAATCCTGGGCCTTGTGCATGCTAACCCATACTCTATCACTGAACTTGCCCTATTACCTACTCCTGCATTGTTCAATATGGTACTGACTAGCTAACATGGCTCTTTAGCACTTGAAAATAACTATTCCAAGCCAAGATATGCCACCAATCTACAATAAGCCCTGGATTTAGAAGAGTTGATATAATTTGTTCCTGAAGTTAAATTCTAGCCTTTGTCCTGGTCAGCCTGGCAACCAGGGAGCCAGTTGGCCGACTAATCCCCAGGAGAAGTGTTGACAGAGGTGGAATGGGCAGACTGGAGCGTCGGCTGGGAGCATGGGCAGCAACAGCACAGAGCCTGCCATCATCCCCTCACAAGTCTGAGGCATGGTGAGCTAAGGTATAGTGACCAGCAGCCCAGCAATGGCCTGGCCCAGGCAAATGAGCAGCAAAGGAAAAGGAGTTTGGGATGGGCCCAAATGGTGACTGCAGGAACTTTCAGACTCAAGGGCTAACTAATAGTGTTCAAACTTTTCTAAGACTTGATTAGCATAAATGTGGACCAATGATGGCATTAGCCCAAGAGCTGTTATCAACCACTAGACTAGCAGCAACCTGCAATCAGGTGCCCTCT